GAAAAATATATATAAATGTATACAATGTCCTTAATAATTTGATTTTAATAAAAGAGCGCCACACGCGCCCCTAGGTACTTACACCAGGGATAAAAAAAAAAAAAAAAAAGTTAGTTTCTTGTATTAAAATAATGTCTAAGTTATATGATTTTAGTAAAGTTAGAGTTTTTTGCACTTTGGCATTATTGTTTAAACCTTTAACATTTAGTATAGCAATTTTAATTATTGACTAAAATGTATAAAGAAAGAAGTTACACTAGTTGAGAATATTTTGAATATGACTTTGTTTTTATTTGTTTCTAACTCTTCTAATTTTCTTTGTGCTAAAAACAATTAAATATTTTTAATTTCATATATGAAAATTATTTGTTAAGTTTTTTAGACTTCATAATCTTGTTTGCAGTTTAGACAGTTGTTAGGCAGAAATGTTTTATATCAGTATTTTCTTGATACCAATTCTTAGTTTTTTAATAACTTTGTTTTTCTTAGAAGGTTTTAGAATTAATTTAAAGTTTTTTTGAAGTTATTTTGTAGTAATGTTAATTAGAACTGTTTTCTTCTAAAATAACAAAACTAATTTCAAATAGGTTATTTACTTCTATAGAAGCTTGTATAGTGCTTTTGCAAAAAATTTTTATTATTACTTTTAATTTTAATTAACTATAGCTAATAACTGCCTTAGCTTTTCTAAGCCAGTTATTTTTTAATACTAAGTATAAATGTTTATATCAATTATTTTCATATCTATTACAATTCTATTGTTATGTACCAAATGACAATTCAAAATGATTTACACAAATATATGTAGATAATAATCCAAAAAACTTTTTTTTAGTTCATCTTTAAAAATTAAATAAAAAACAAAATTTCAACAAAAATTAATATATTTTCATTTTAGAACTCTTACAAGGCAAGGGCTTTTACTTCAAAAAAGCACAAAACAAAGTCTCTAAACATGAACAAAGCTTAAAACAAGAAGCTTAAACTTGATACAACAGTAGAGAAAACCTTTAACTTTACAAAAGCTAAAAGCAGTAAAAAAGAAAACAAAAAGCAAAGCAAAATAATAACAATAACTTTATTTCAGAAACTAATAATTTTATTATTGACTATGCAATAGAAAGCATAGCTTGCTGTATTAGTCAAATAGAGAAAAATAAGTTTCTTAAAACTAAAAAAACATATCAGCTTTTTAAACCAGAATAAAACATATAAAAGTGCCAAAAAGTCAACAAATATCTCTAAGTAAACAACAAACTGATAATAATTCTAAATATATGTCTAAAAACAACATGTCAGAACATATGCATGTTAATGAAAACATTGATCAACCTTAGCAGAGTGCTACAAACAATATGGAAACAACCTATAACAAGAAAATCAATAGCACAAAAACTATCTCTATAAAAATATTAAACCCATCTAATGTCAAACCTTTTTGCATAACTTAAAGAAGAAAAAGCAATTTACATTAACTCTACTTCTAGACAAAGAATTCATTTTAAAACAATAACATCCTATAATAACATTCTAATTTTAAATATTCAAAGTCTTAGCAATCTTATAACTAATAATATTATTATAGTCTTAGCTTCAAGTATTAGATAAGACTTCTTAAATACCAAAATATATATGTTCAAAAATAATAAAAAAATTCAGATTTATGCTACAGAGAGAATTATACTTTTTAAGCAATCACTTTTTAACTAAATCTTTCTTATAATAAAAAAACAAACCAAAAAAAAACACACATACTCTCCATCTACTTTTGTTAATAGAGAACAAAATAAGCAAAAACTATGAAAACTTTATTGAAAAAATCTACTAAAAACTATACATGGGATAAAACCCTTGTATCTAGAAAAAGAAAACAAGCTTGTTTAACTATGTTCAGTTCAGCATCAACAAGTTACAGAAAAAATAAAAAAACAAAAATTGCAAGCTTTAAAGAAACATCTTGTCTTGGTTTCAAAGATGTAAACAAAATAATAAAACAAGAGAAAAATAACATGTCTGATAGTTTTGTAGCAGAAAATAAACAGGAAAAAGAAAAATGCTAGAGGTTACTACAGAAAACTCTAAAGGCCAAACAATTACAACAGCAGAACTTGAAAAAGAAGACTTGTCTTCAGTCACTTTTCTGAGCAATATAGATCAGATTTCAGATGAACAAACAAAACAAATAACATGTGAGAAGCTACATTTAATTACATAAACAACCAATTAGAAACTCAGAACAAACAAACCAAACTGAGATCTCTTCTCAAAATTAGAAAAAGAAAAAGCCATATACTCTACTTATTCTTTATAAAAAAGAATTATTACCAAAAATGAGAATGCACTAATCTTTGAATTATTCAGTTTAAAAAACATCTCTACTACAAGAATTATCAAATGAAATAGAAGAAGACCTTGTTGCAGCCTAGCCAATAATTAGTAAGAACAAAAGAACTTATTTAGAAGTTATGTTTTTAGATGAAAACAAACAACAGCAATATGTAGCAGAAGGTGTTACTATCTTTAAGCAGACATTACAAAAATATATTCCTATAAACATCAAATGCAACTTCCTATCAGTTAGGATTTGAAATATACTAATAGGAAAAAAAAAATTTATTTTAAAACAAATTAGAGAAGCATTCTAAGTTTGAAACAACAAATGATCCAGATCTAACAAATCATATTTCTAGATTTACACATGTTTGGGACCAAAAAGGCCTCAAAGATGTGCTTTTTTTGTGACAAAGCAGGTTATATAAAAAAAAACTGCCCAGAATACAAATTCTTAGTTAAGGCTAGGAACCTATATAAGTTACAAAAAGAGCAGAAGAGACAAGAAAAAATTCAGCTTTAACAATATATAGAGAAACCTTTTGAATTTAGTTCAGAAAACCCCTGTGTAAACAAGGAACTAAAAAACAAAAATACTATAAACAACTTTATAGAGAAACTTGAAACAATAGACACAGAAGGTGAAAACATTCTAATGCAAAACCAAATTACATCAGACACAGAGATGTTAACAAGCAATGATAAACAAGAAAGTTAATTAAAACTTTAAATAGAATTAATTAAGAACAAGCAGAATATGGAACATGAAAACATACTAGTAGATTTACCTGCAAGTTTATATAAGTATGTATAGACAAACAATACTGACACTATAGATAAGAAGAATAAATAAAGTTTTACAATAGTTTTCAGAAAAAGCATAAAAATAAAAGTAGAATCACAACCTTAAAGATGAAAAGAACTACAGTCCTAGAAACATTAGCTACCTACATGAAAGTCAAAGGACTGCAATAGACATAGCTTAACTTTTACTTTTTAAAATATTTATTAATAGTTAAAAAAATCAAAACTGCATCACTAAATGTTAAAGAACTAAACAACAAAAAAAAAGATATACAAAACTCTTATATTATTAAAATTATACACTTTGATATAATTATGATCCAAAAAACTAATCTACACAAAAAATGTTTTAAAAGAAATATGGGGGTTTGAACCTCAAGAATAGCAATACTTACAGGAAATGATGATATAAAACTTGAAAATATTAAAGAATCTCATTATAGAGAAGTAATATTAGCAAATCTTATTTACAAACAATACTTTTTTTAATTAAACAATATATATGTAATAAGGAACATATCAACATAGTAGCAGATGACTTTATCACAAATCTGAATTCACAAAAAGATTGTATTAGCTATGCACTAATTACTAATAATCTTTCAAGAAAATTACTAAAAGAAATTACTTCAGATCTGATTAATACAGCATTACTATTAAACAACTAAGAACTATTTCTTATGTATTATCAGAACACTAGAGAAAATTACAGTATGGTTACAAGACTTGATTACATCTTTATTAATGCCAATTATAGCTAATATTGCAAATATACTACTATTGCAAATATACTACTATACAGTTTGGCAACTCTGATTACTTAATAATAAAATTTGAACTAAACTTTACATCAGAGTCATCTAGGGCCAAACAATGAAGATTGCTAAAATAATAAACAACTAAAAACAGAAATAGTTAAAGAAATAGAAAGCATAGTAGATTACTCAAAATGGGATTTATCTAAATGAAAGCCTTTAGGCCTCCTTTTATATTAGAAAAAAAATACAAAAGCTTCAAAAAAAACTAACTAAACTAAACAACAAATTGGCTAATAAAGATAGCTCAGAATATCTACTCAAAGCAAAAGAAAGTCTTAGCATATAGCTACAAAATGAGCTTCATACTCTTTCTGAAAAATAAAAACTTAGATCTAATGCTAAATAGATAGAAAAAGAAAAAAAATCAACTAAATTTTTCTTTATATTATATAAATTTAAAAACACATTATCAGCCAAAAACAAAATTTTTCCACTAAGCAATTTTGAATTAGACAATATTAACAAAACAGTTCAATATATAAGAAACATTTATCAAAATATCTACAAGGCTGAGAAAATTAATTAAGATAAGGCTGATTTTTTACTTAAAATCTTACTCCTATTACAGTAATACAAAACACATTACTTAAAAGGTACATTATGGAAGATAAAGTCAAAAGTGTACTGACCACTTTTTATAATAACAAGGCTCTAGACTCAGATGGTCTTAGCTATAAATTCTATAAAGATATTCAAAAAGAAGTTCTTCTTGCACTTACAGGTCTTTTTAACTATTGTTTTGAAACAAGCATCATCTTTAAATCATGGTCCAAAAGCATAATCACACTTATTTCTAAAAAAAACAAAGAGCTTAAGTAATGTTAATAACTGAAGGCCTATTTTGTTAACTAATAGTAATGCCAAAATTTTTATAGAAATCTTAACTAATAAGGTTAATGAAATTTGTGACTCAATTATTGAACCATCACAACAAGCATTTATAAAAAAATAATTAATAGTAGATTCAGCTTAGATATTATTACTACTCTGAAGAATCAAGAAAACTAATTTCTTTCATATTGGCTTATACTGTTAGATTAGTAAAAGGCATTCAACAAAAGTTCATTATACAAGTACTAGAAAAAATAAATTTTAATCAAAATTGTTAATACTCTTTTTAGCTTACAGATAGTACATATTGCTGATTTAGAAAGATTGTCTAAGCCTATAAAAGTTGTGTCATTAATCACCTAATTATTTTTTATCAGAGACCTACCTCTTTAATATATAAATAGTCAGGTTCTTTATATATAATTTTAACTTTTTTTATCCTCCTTCTCCTCCTAAAAAATTACAAAATTTTTAACACTTCTCTAAAGGTAAAAAGAGGAGTTTAACAAGGAGACCTACTATCACTTTTACTATATATTTTTATCTTTAACTCTTTGATTTTTAAGCTTTAAAAGAAGATCCAAGAAATCAAACTCAGAAACCAGCTCTTTAAGGCAGTAGCCTATGCAAATAACTTAATTATTAGAATTAGATCATCTACAAACTGGAGTAAAGTCTTAACTCTGTTTAGAAAATTTGAAAAAACAACTAATGCCAAGATAAACTAAGTCAAATCTATTATAATTCTTCTTACAAACATGGCACTTAGTAAAGACCTACCTAATCAACAAAACTTTAAAATAGCTAGCAATGATAATTCACTTAGAATCCTAGAATATGAGGTTGCCTCAAGAGGCAACTCTAAAAAAAATGATTATGAAAAGAACTAACAGATAGTATTAGAAACAAAATCAAAAAGCTTAAACTAAGAAATCTTTTCTTCAAGAGAAAAATCCTAATTGTTAGAGCACTATTAATTTCTAAAATCTAATATTTAGTGTATTTGCTTTCTCTAAGCTGAAAGCAGCTTGACAAAATTAATGCTCTTATTTCAGGATGGATTAAGAACAAGTCAAAAATGTTATCTAAATACTCAACATTTTAGCTAAATTTCAAGAAAAGAGAACTGGCAGCTCCAGTACTTAAAAATATATTAGTCTCTAGGCTTGTTTTCATTTAGATTAAATTGCTTACATCCAATAATCTTTGGACAGAGCATGAAAGAAACACAGTTTCATAACAGTTATAAAATAAAAATAGAATCACAGTTTTAGAAGCATTGAATTAAAGTACAATAAAACTAAAGAGCTGATCAGATGTTTGAAAGCTTTATTTAATAGCTTTAATAGCTTGAAAAAAATTAGAGTGTAAAGTTATTTATACAACAATTGATCATGATCATTATCAGAGCTAAAAATATTGAATAAGTCAGAAGATAAATTCTTAGTCAAAAAAGCAACAGAATTTTTAAGAATATAATTGATAAAACCTACAGCCTCACAATCTTCACTTCAACTAGTTATTTACTAAAAAAGTTCAAAATAAGAAAAAGATATATTTCAAAGGTTGCAAAACAAGGTCCTGCTACTAGGTTATCAGTTGGTATATATTAATTAAAATATAAACAAAAACTGCTCTAACTGTAAAGATAAAGATAAAAAACAAACTATAGAACACTTTACTCTAGACTGTAGAATTAGTAAAATTATATAGACCTATGGCTACAAGTTTCTAAATGTTTCATTAGAAGAAGTGTCATCTACTACAATAAAAGAAATCTTTACTATGTCTAACATCTCAAATACACAAATACTGAGAACTGCATCATAGTTACATTTGACAGTTATTTATAAAATTTGACTATGATATATCTAAGCAAGATAGAGAAATACAGTCAACTCTAAAAAAAAAAATAAAATTTAGGTTTAAAAAAATGTTAAAATTTTAAGCATGTTATATAAAAAAAAAAAAGCTAAAATAGTCAGATTTATTAAAGAAATCTAAGCTTCATATATGTAAATAATATAATGTATTTCTAGTATAACCTAATAAAAGTATGCCAATTCATGTTTAAAAAAAATCTTTTTTATAATAAAACTAAGAAACATGCCTTTGAATAATATAAAATTTATTAATAACCAAATTATAGAAGCCTTTTAAGATATAAAACAAATTATATTAAATCTTTTTTTTTAAAAGAACCAATATTTATTCAGATCAATAGCTAATTACTTTTGAAATCAAAGAAAATTCAAATATAACCAAAAAAATTCTAAAAGATACACATATATAGAAAAAAGCTTCTAAAATCTACTACTATTGTAACAAGAAAGATAATATTAAAAAAAATTGTAAAAAACTTAAAGTCTTAATATAAACAAAACATCTTCTAAAAGAAGCTAAAAAACAAAAAGAAAAAATTAAAAAACAAAAACTTGTAGTATCAAAACTAAAATTTAGCTCAGATAACTCTTATATTAACAATTTAGCAGAATATAATTAAATAGAAAGACCTATAGAGAATTTAAATATTTTACAGTCTTAGGTCTTTAATGAACATGTAACTTTGAATAATTCATCTTAAGATTTTAATAAAACTGAAACCTTCTTAACTAACATATATATTGAACTCTTAACCAATAACCAGACTTTTGACTTAATTAAAAGTAATATGAAAGTTGATTTGACTTTCAGTTTAATTAATAAAAACACAACTTTAGAGTTAGACAATATTGATTTTATACTAGTTATCTTCAGAAATAAAAGTAATAAAGGAAAAAAATTAGAATAGAACAGTTAGTTTAAACAAAACAAGAAACTTTCTTAGTAAGACAGCTTCAAGTTAGGTTACTTCTACTAAGAACCAACACACTTAGTATAGCCTAAATACAAACTCTTTATATAATCAAAATTATTATACTGAATATTAAAGGCTTAATAATAAAGCTAAAGCACAAAAAACACATACATTACTTAAGTTATATAATATAAACATAATTATAATCCAAGAAACCAATCTTAAAAACAATAATTCAAAAAACCAATTTTAAAAATACAACTACAAAAAACTTTTTTTTACAACAAAGAGGATTTGACTTCTTCTAATCCTTCAAAACAGCAATTCTAGTTGTTAAAAAGAACATCAAACTTATTAACTTTAAAAAATCTTTTGACAAAAAGTAATTTTTGCTAATGCTAAAATAAAGCAACAACTATTCTTAGTTACAAATATATATGCACCTTTTAGCCCTAAAAATAGAATTAC